TGATCAATATTGCATGTCTCTGTTTTCATGAGAAACCACTTTGAAGATATCAATACATAATACAACAAGCATTGCTAATTCCCTACCACTTTGTTTGTAACTCTGTATTGTCTGTACTGTTCTTCTGCTATTTTGTAAAAGGTTGTCTGTCTGTTAATGTTTTCCTGCTTTTATTTTTAAAATTAAAAAAAAATTTAAATATTACATAATAAAAAAGGCTGTGGGCATAGCTCAGTGGTTGAGAGCCTGCCTAGACTATGAGACACCCTGTGTTCAATCTCCAGTTCTGAAAGAAATAACCTCAATACATCTAAATAAAGTATTTGTGTACTTAAGAAAATAACCATGAATTCTTATCCTCAACATTGGGAGGTGTTCTGGTTAACATGTCTTTTACCCAATAACTGTATGGTTTGTTAATGGACAAATATTTATAGGGAATATTATATCTATGCTGAAAATTATTGAACCGGGGGACTCAGAATTTCCTTCAGGATTTCTTTATGCCCTAAGCATTATCATTACACATATAAATCAGTTATCATTTTTTACTCCTGCAGAATGCATGGGAATTGAGCTTTTACTTTACTTTTACAAAAAAAAGTCTTCCTTGCGTATCTGTGCAGAATTGGTTCAAGGGCCCAAAATCCGCAAATGTTCAAGATCTTTTTATACAATGGTATAGTAATTATATGTAACCTATACTTTGTCTCCTGTATATTTATAACAACTAGTACAATGTACTTGTTATTTAAAAACTTATTTTACTATATTATTTAGGGAAAAACAGTAAGAATAGGTGTGTACATGATTGCACTAAAATAACTTTTTAAAAATATTGTCTACCCATCTTTGGTTGAGTTGCATATACAGAACGTGCATATGTAGGGAACTACTATGTATGTGGGAATAACTTGCTTTTTGTTTGTTAACAGTCACTTATGTCTTACTCATAAGACATATGGATGAAAGGTTAGTCACTGACTTTTTTAGATGTTAGATATTCAGGCCAACAAAACTTCAGTATGCAGGATTCAGAAAAAAATAGCTTACATGTATATGCACACAAAGACACAAAACCCTGTGTAATGCAGGAAGGCTTTAAAGCAATCACATATAAAACCAGACGTGTTCTCAGGAACTCACCACCACTCTTGAGCTGCTCAAGTTTCCTTCTTATTCCTGTAACTGTAGAGACTCCTGGACCTTCATTTAATATTCACTGGTGGGAAGCAAGTGTCCAGGATCCCCATTACCCCATTGTGTTGATCCTTAATGCATAAGGGCCTTAATATCCTACCCTCATCGCTGGAATTTGAGGGTATGGAATGTGAATAAAAGGCTGTCTCCACTCCCACCTTTGGGCCTGCTTCATAATGGAGAGGTGTTCCAGAATGTTGGGTTAGAATTAGAATAAGTCATCTTTTAGAAATAAAAGCCTGAATAGCTGAAATTTTGCAGATAATCACAAAGACAATTCAGCTACTTTAGAGGATTTTGTGGACTTTCCAGGGTAAACTACCTCATATGGCATCAATATTATTATAAAAATGCATCATGAGTTTGAAATGATTTTAAGAACAATTTTTAAAATATATTCAATTTAATATTTAGGGAATGTACAAAAAATAAAAATGCAAAAGAAGAAATTAAAGTCAGTCCTCTATCAAATATGACCGCTGCACTCATTTTCACTATGGCTACTATCACCTCTCCTAAAGATTAAAGCAATAACACCTATGCCTCTTACTATAGCTGGCCTCATACCTCGGTTGACACTCGTCACAGCAGCCAGAATGATCCTTTAAAAGCACAAATCATTTTACAACTTTCTCAGTATTATACTAGAGTTCTATTTCACACAAAGCAAAAGCCAAATTCTATGTAATGCAGTGTAAGCCCCAACAATCCCATTGCCTTTCTCACCACACTGCTCCCCTACTTCTCTGTGCTTTTCCTTAGATGTGTCTGTTGTGCTCCTATCTGTTGTAGTTTGAACTTCAAATGTCCCATGTGTCCCCTGAAGCTTGGTTCCCAGCTGATGGAACTACTGGGACAGAGACAAGCTTTTAGAAGGGGAGAGCTAATGGAAGTAAGTTAGGTCGTCCAGGGCATGCTCATAAGGGGACATTGGGATCTTTCTCCTCTCTCTTCTTCCTCCATCTCCCTCTCCCTCTCCTCCTCCCTCTCCCTGACCTTCTCGCTCTCTCCCTGTTTGCTAGGTGCCAGGAGGAGAGCAGTTTTTCTCTGTACCAGTTCCTGCCTTGCTGTTCTGCCTTGCACAGACCGCAAGTGACAGAACCAAGGAACTATGACTGAAACCTGGTAACCACGACTTTCCCTCTCCCTGTTCCTCTTTCTTGAACCGATCTTCTAACTTCTTCATCTTCACTTAACAGTGTCTTGAATGCTAACTTCAAGATGAAGTCCACATGGATCATTCTTGTATTGCAACTTTGCTGGTCTCTTTCTTAATGCATCACCCTGCTAGCATACAAGCCCCCTGAGGCCATAGCCTTCTGTTGCCTCTGAGCATCTAAAACACTGGCTGGCACACAGCAGTCGCCACTGAGTGGAATATTGGGTAAAAGGTGGTGAGCTTCGACATGCCAGTGGTAGAAAGTGGAGGCTTAGCCAATCCTAGTATGACTGACCATATCAAATTCTGATTTTGTTCATGCAAAATTTCCCTTCCACGTCTCTTTCTCATTCTGGTTCTCATTTTGGGGTCTCGTCTGCACTGAGTAGGAGGTGGAGCCTGTGCTGCCCTGTCATCCACTGCCATCTGGGGCTTCCGTATCTCCCAGCTTCTACTCACACATCTCTTCCTGCTTGTTGTCTCTGACGTCTGTCAGCACTCTGTGAGCTGCAGTAACTTCAAAGGTCAAAGCTAAGAAATCGATGGAGTGTATAAATTCTTCCTTTAAACTAATTTTCAACTTTTTTGAAGGTAGTGGAGAGTTTTAGCTATTTTTCCATTCTTCTCTGGAGTCTCAAAAGTTCTAAAACTGTATCAGGACTCTACAGTCTTGGGTACCACAGAAGTCCACCAGAACTAACACCTGTGCCATCACGAGAAATACCAAAGGAAATAAAGCCCATTGAATACCAGAACCAGTGGCCTCTACTTTTGGATATCCAGATTTGTTTTGTTTGATCAATATTCTCTCCACTTACTTTAAAATAAGCCTGAGAAGCAGAGCATGGGCTCAGCTCTAAGCAGGTTTCTGTCTCACTTTTCCTCTCCTCGATTACCCTCTGCCGTCAGAGCGCTCCTGGAAGGAAAGGCGCAGCTCAGAACTGGTAACAAGTACTGGTAAAGTAGAGTGTGGGAATAGTCAGTGTAGGCTTCACTTTAAAATTAGTATTAATTACATTGTTCATGTCTTTGCAAATAGATGCTTCCTGCATATGAACAAAGCTTTTGAATTTAAAGCCAAATATCTTATCTTTTAATTCTTTTTAGAGTTTTCAGTATATACATTCAATGACTAATTTCTGAATGCTTACACTGGAGAAAGGTTTTTAAAGTCAAAGAAAGAAAAATCAAAGAGTTTAAATGAGCAGGATTATCATGTATACGAGTTGATAACGTGCAAGAAACTTCAGTTAGCACTTAAAAATATGTAGAGTTTGCCTCCAGTGTTTATCACTTGAACAACTTTTTATACCTGACTTAGCCTTTTGTTTAAAACCAATCGTGTAACAAAACAAAAGAAGATGAAGAAATGCAATTAATTTTTTTCTCACAAAGTGGAGTTTCACAGTCATGCTGAACTTATTTAATGTTTTCAGGAAAGTAAAGAACAAGCCATATGCAGGGTCTGAAGGTGTGATGAATTTTTAAAAAATCAAAATGACTAACAGTGTGAATGCCTTCCTGCCTGTGCCAGGGTGTTACTTGGAGATTCAAGCATACGTAAGTGAAGAAAGAAAAAGAATTATCCTCTTTTGACATAAAGTACTAAGAAACAACCAGCATTAGCATCATATAAAGCCAAAATCTAAATGAAATTCTTAGCCTTAATGAAGGTCATATGTAAACATACAGAGAATTCCACTCTAGTTTTAAAAGGAAACTTGGGAAATTAACTTCCACACATGATTAATTTTGAGGTTTTAAGAGGAAAGTAACTGCCTATATCCCAAGTAATATTATTTAAAATTTAGCTTCTTTTATAATTAATGAAGCAATTGAAAGTGACTACCTTTTTATTGCAAGGGAGTAATTTCTTTTTTAAAAAAGTTAAATCCTCAGGATATTTGTGTAGGCTTTTCCTTTTGCCAGGCATAATCCCCCTCGACGGAGACTCTGCCTCAGCTGAAGTAGCATTTCCTCAGGGAAGCTTTCTGGATACCCTGGCCAAGAGGGTCAATTCCACCTCATTTCTGTTAATTCCTAACTCCAAAGTCTGTTTGTATAACTTTCTAATTATATATTTAGGTGTTTACTTTTTATCATCTGCAGTGTACATCAGATTATAAATTCTACAAAACAAGGTCTAATTCTATTTAATTCTTCAAAGTACAGCTCCTTGGTGTCTGTGAGAGACTGATTCCAGGACCCCCCACAGATACTAAAACCCACAGATGCTCACATCCCTTATTGCGAATGGTATAGAATTTACATATAACATATGCACTTCCTCCTGTATATTCCTTAAACCATCTCTCAATTACTTATAATACCTAATACAAAGTATTACCTAAATTGTCATTATGCATTGTTTAAGGAGTAATAACAAGCAAAATGTTTGAATGTGCTCAGTACAAAAGCTTTCTTTTTTTCAAAATGAGTTTGTTTGAATCCACAGGAGCAGAACCCATAGGAAGGAAGGACTGACTGTGTACATGCCACCTAAAATAATGCCTGGTGTAGACCATGTGGTTCATTAAATGGTGTTAAAAACATGACGAAACATAGTTCCTCTTAGAAGTTTAGCGACTGATAGTTTCTGTTTAATAAGATAATAGTTTTTTTGTTGTTTTTGTTTTTGTTTTACCAGTACCGGGAATCGAACTCACGACCTCGCGCTTGCCAGGCGGGCGCTATTCTGCTGAGCTAAATCCCCAGCCCCAAGATGATAGCACTTATTAAATTTAACAAACTTCTCTCTTTTATTTTTTTAAACTCCATTATATTTGTGTAGTGGTGTGTGAGTGAATGTTTCACAGCCTACTCTAAATAAAAAGAGATGCGTGCGTGGATGTACGGAGTCTGCTGTAACCTTACTGACATAAAGGATGCATAACTCACAACTTACAAAAAATGATACTAAAATACATTATTTACTGAATGTTTCACATAGCCAGAATTCTCACAGAAGATTTCTGTTGATTTTTCCTGAACTCTTGTATTCATCTACAGCCAATCTATATTTGAAATTGACAAATACATGAAATTCTGATTTAGATATCAGTTGATAGTTCTGTTTATATTATTGAATACAATAAAAATGATAGAGACATGTCACAATGCCACATTTCTAACAACGATATGAACAAGTTGTTTTGGTTGGTTGGTTCTTGCTGAATCAGATAATATGTATTTTTAAATACTGAAAGAATGTTTTCTCAATTTTTCTGACTTTCAAAATGTAATGCCTGTACACAGAACACTTTTTCAGTATGGAGGATTGAAATCAGAGCCTCTTCACTGAGCTGCATCACAGCCATTATTTTAAGGGTTTATCTAAACTTTATTTTTGAGAGAAGGTCCTGCTAAATTGCTAAGTTGCCCACACTAGGCTTGAACTTGATCATCCTGCCAGCTCTGGGTTTGAACTGATTCAAAGAATTCCTACATTGCTGATGCACAAAACTACACACTTAGCTTTGTATTATTGTTCGCATTTCTAAATGGACTTGCAACTTCTGTATATTTCCATGCTGTCTTGAATTTAATAAATCTGAAACAAAGTATCATGTTTCCCAGCCCCTTTCTTTTATCCGTTAATTTACATGAGTAGGCAATAAACAACTTGTTGATCTCTTAGTAGTTGCTGATATATTTTAAAGTGATTGCAGCTACATTAGAAAATTTAAAAGGTATGTTTCAACTTAAGCAATAAAAATGCAATAATTTAAAGAAGGTATAGATATCATAAAGATGTTTTTGAAGAAAAATTTACCATTCATTTGTTCATTGAATAGAGTGAATAAATATGTCAAGTCCTAGAAATTGTGCCAGGTGCTAGAGATACTAGTATGAATAAGACAACATTTTCTGTCTCAAGAAAGTAAAATTTACTCAAATAACATTATAACCTAAATATTTTAAAAACAGTGTTACCTCCGAAACTTTGCAAGTTTTGATGACAAGTTTATTAAAAAGTATAAATCCATATGTCATTTCAAGAGTTTTTAGAAGGAAA